AGCTGTTGAACAGTAAGAGAAAAATCCGGGGAGAGGGGATGGTGTTAAATATCAAAGATTAGAGGGTATTACAGGACAGTATGGTAATGAAGAGGGAAAGGAGGGAAGTAAATGAAGTAGAGCAGTGGTTAATAAATGGGAAAGGTTAAGGAGGTAGATCGATTAAATGAATCGCATTGTATCTGTGACTGGGGAAGGCATAGGGATAATAGGTGATAACGTTATATATGGTGGTATTAGTAGTAGGGGATTAGGTATCTGAGGGTTGAGATAAAGGATCAGGAGTAGATGAAGGAGTAGTGACTGGGGATTTGATAGGGACAGTGGGGTCTGGGAAGGATACTGTGATAAAAGAGATTTACATGTATATCCAGGAGGGAGTGGGAAGGATGGGGTTTTGGGGGAGGTTAGGTTTGGGTGGTATGGATGGTATGGGTGGTTTGGGGTGTTGAGAGGAGGAGGTATTTTGGGAAGGGTTGGGGGAATATAAGGGGGTAGAGCAACTGATTGAATTGCAGTGTATCTGTGACTGGGAAGGAGTAGGAACACTGATCAAGGAAAACAGAGGTGGCTGTTGCAGAAGTAGGAGGAGAAGAATCCAGGGGTTGAGAAAGGGAGACTGGGGAAGGTGGTCAAGCACTAGGAAAAATGTTTGGAGAGGAGGGATATGGAGAAGGACACTGTTGTGATAGAGAGGATTCGTGTATGTATTCAAGTGGTAGAGAGGGTGAGGTATGTTGGTAGGGTGTAGGAGAAAGGGGGGTGGAGGGAACTTGGGAAGGAGGAGGATGAATATCTGGAAATACTTTAAATGTAGCAGGTGTAGGAACAGAGGGATTGGGGGTGGATGAGGGAGCAGTGTTCCCTTGGGTCATCTTTAGGAAGTTTTGGATGTCTTCAAGGGTTTCTGGAGGGGAATTTGGTATAGTGGACTAAGGAACAAAGGTTATCTTATAAGGAGGAGAAGAGGAGATGGATATCTGAGGAACAGATGAAGAGGAAGGTGTAGAAGAAGAGAATGTAGTAGGAGAGTGTGGAGTGGAACATATAAGTTGTCTAGTACGACAACTAAAGTGAGGAGAAGAGGTAGGTATCCGTGAAGTGGTAGAGATTGGAGTATCTGGATTTAGGATGGAAAATGGATTTGACTGGTGGATAGGGCGAGTAGACATAGGACGTAGGTTTCGGGTATAGCTAAAAGATACCTGGGGGAGATGCATGTGTGTAGATGGTAGAGG